AAAAAAAAATTACAACTGTTGTTAGTTTAAATTGGCATGTGATTATCACTGGCTTTAGTGTTAAGGAAAGGTACCATAAAACCCTGAAAAATGTTCATTCTTCCTTTATTTTAGCAGTAGATCTCAGACTGAGGCAGGAGAATCACTGTGAGTTCAAGGTCAACCTGAGCTACGCAGTGAGACTCTGTCTCAAAAACAAAACACAGCAACAAAGCAATAGATCTAATGAATGCGGTGATCTTGGGTGATTTGTCCAGCAGTGCTGATGTTGTTCAGCATGCTTTACCTTTTTCTTTGGAAATTATTCTCTTCTGTTACTTTTGATGGTAAGTTGTCTTCCTTTAACATATCTTTTACATTTTAGTAAAAGGTGAAAGATTTATATGATCTGAAGAGAAACCAGAGTTATATGTTTTACATTTTAGGAACAGATAAATTTTGGGATTTAATTCTGTAAGTATAGGTCATGATCAAGCTATACAATGATATTTCAGTCTAGAAGTTGCCTCACAAACAACATTTGGAGCTTGTCTCCATACTAAAGAAACCACCACTCAATTCTATAGTAATTAATACTTCAAAATGTTTGCATGATAATCCTTTCTAACTCTCTGATCTTGTCAAATTCTTTGTTCATTTTGTTGTTTTTCCTAGTACTAAGGATTGAACTGAGGACCTTCACACTCAACTTTCTCCTTAGCACATCCTTTTAATTTTGAGACAGGGCTAAGCTGCTCAGGCCGGGCTTACCCATATGATCTTTATTGCTGGGATTAACAGTTATATACCACCACCCCTGGCTTCAACTGTTACCTTTTTTTTTTTTTTCTTTCCTACTCTTTCTCTATCCTCTCAAAAAGTGTTTATCTGAAGACTGGGAGCGTATCTCAATGATAGAGAACATGCACTGACGGTAGGTAGTGCAGTCCTATAATCCTGCTATTTGGGTAGAAGGTTCAAAAGTTGGAAGCCATTCAGGAGAACAGTAAAATCCTATCCCAAAAGAAAAAAAAAAAAATTAAAGGGCTGGGGTGACGGTCAATGTTAGATTGCCCCTGGGTCTGATCCCCAGTACAGTTGGTAGGAGGCAGGAGGGCTTACTAGTTTGGAGATTTGCTAAGATTGTTATATTTAGTATTTGGAATACTTACTAATGGTAGAGTCTTAGTCCATAGGATCCACATCATTGTTGTTATTGTTTTCCTGTCTCTGTGAGATAGGGTTTCACTATGCAGTTCAGCTCACTGGCTTTGAGCTGACTTTGTGTGTGTGTGTGTGTGTGTGTGTGTGTGTGTGTGTGTATGGCCAGCTCAGCCCACCTGGGGGCGGGGCTGGCTGGCATGTGGTGCTGGGGGATTGAACCGTGGTCCCTGTGCTTTGCTAAGCTTGTTCTAAGTAGGTGCTTTAGACCACTGAGCCATCTCACCAGCCCCAAGCTGACTTTTAACCCAGGCTGGTTTTGAACTTGCAAGCAATGATCCTCCTGCTGTAACCTCCTGAGCACTAGGATTTCAGACGTGTGCCACCACACCATGCTGCAAATCATACCATGCTCCAAATCTGTTTTTAAGTAATGGATACAATTCCTTAGCTGTCACCACCTTTTAGTTCAGCAAAGTTATTTTTGAGGTTTCTTGTTACTTTTTTAAGTAGGCTTTGTTGTGATTGACAAATAGTTGCAGGGTATGTTTAATTCCTAGACATGGTACTTATTTCTTAGGAAATTCTAGGCATAGGCAATGTGCATCATAGGTGGTTTGTATTAAAAGAAAATATATATGAAAGAGCTTTCTGCATCCTAATGGAATGTGTATATCAATGTGGTAATTTTTTTTTTTAATGTGAAATTTTCAGGTGCATTAAATTCTGTCTTTGTAGAGGTTGCATTGTAGAAGATTACAGAAAGCTAAAATGGGCCTAGAGAGATAGCTCAGTAGAATAATTGCTTGCCTGGCAAGCACAGGGTCCTGAGTTCAATCTCTGGTACTGCAAAAAAAATAAATAAATAAATAAATAAATAAAGCTAAAACAAATGAGTTTGAAATTTGATCATTTTGTCTATGGTTCACTCCCTTTAATCTTACTCCACCAGGGCAACTTGCTAGTTAATAACAAAAAGACTATCATGGTAAAAAGAGCAGCATGATACTACTTGGCTGTCCCTAGGACCAACATGTCATCCCAGTGTCATTTAAAGTAAAGCCATTAAAAAAATAAAATAAAATAAAAAATTAAAGCCATTGGAGAGTGTCCGTGAGGGAGAAAAAAATTTCTGTGTTCTCAGTATAAAGTGAAATCAAAATAAATGTTTATGCTTAAACAAAAGATTGTTTTACACATTTACATCAAAATATATGCGTGTAAAGTTTACAAGAAATGTAATGGATTTATCTGCCAGTAAGTATGTGTCATCTTGGAAATTGGTTACTGTTTTATTAGCTCTAGAAGAGTACAAATTATTAATTTGTTAACTTTATCTTTTAGAGTTATGCCCAGCCAAGTCTTCAGTATATCCAGGGACAGCAGATTTTCACAGCTCACCCACAAGGAGTGGTGGTACAGCCAACTGCAACCGTGACTACAATAGTTACACCAGGGCAGCCGCAACCTTTACAGCCAGTAAGAAATATTTCAGTTGCTAAAAGTCATTGGCTGTCTACTTTGTATTTGGTTTTCTTTTGTTTTGGGGTTTTGTTTATACTATAATATAGATAGTCATCAGTTTTATTTGAGTACCCTCAGAGCATACATTCAACTCTTACATACAAAATCTTTTTAAAATTGTATTTAAAATTTAATTCAATATATACCTTTATTGATTTTTTTTTTCTCCTAGGATTGTTTTTATTTACTGTATATTTTTGTACTTTATAAGTTTTTGAAGTAGTAATTTTCTAGACCAGGCATCTATTGGTATATAGTGAGTACTAGATTATGGTACTGTGCTAGTCACTATAGCCTAGGTTAGGGGTGTAGAAGTATGTTAATGTACTTCACTGTTTATGTTGTATAGTAAAGGCTTGGTGTTTTTTAACATGTGGAAGGTTGTGATGAAGTCTTAATGAAGTGTTACTAGTTTTTTATAAAATGGAAAATGAGAGAGTGGTATGGCAAAAGGCATGAAAGACTTAATAGTTGAGTAACATGCTTGAAGGCTTTCACACCAATCTGGTAACTGAAGTTGGCCTAAACAGATAGTAAGGTTAGTGTAGACACTACCAGATGGTTCAGAATATTGTTAACGCAGAAGGATAGGATCATTTTACTGGCTAACCACAGCACTGTAGGAATGAGGAGGCAAAAATCAAAACTGGGCCAAAAACACCAGCTTGGCAAAATAAGAAGAGGATAAACAGGGATATACTTAAAGCAGGGATGCTCAGAGACTCGTGTGAGAACATTTAATCTGTGTCTGGAGTCTTATATTCATCTTTAACTACTCAGATAAAGGTAAAGCTATCAGTTTACATATACAGAACATTGGCTATCTGTCTTTATGGTGATTATGTTAGTCTACGAGGACAGCTGTGACAAAAACACCAGACTGAGTTGCTTTAACAAAAGAAAGTTGTTTTCTTATAATTATGGAGGGGGCAGTCCCAGATCAAGGTATCAGGTTTGGTTTCTCCAGAGACCTCTATGCCTGGTTTTAGTGACCACCTTTTTACTATGTCCTCTCAGGCTCTGTTCTCTGCAGGCATCTTCTCTTGGTATGTCCTTTTCTTGCATGGACCCCAAGTCCTGTTGGATTAGTTTCTCATCCTTATGTTTTCAGTTGAGTCTTAATTACATCTTTAAAGATATTACTTCCAGGTATAGTTACAGTGGGGTTAAGGCTTCAAAATAAGGACTTGAGGGAAACAGACAGGTTCATTATAGTGACTAAGGTATTTTATGTTTTTTAACCTGTAACACTTAAGGTTTTTAAAATGGCAGCTTTGGAATTTTAAGCCTCCAGAAAATACAGAAAAATATAATGGAAAAGTATTAACATTCTGCCATATTTGCTTTTTAAGTTTTTGTTTTTTAAGTAGCTGTCTAATCAGTATCTCAAAATTAGTATATGCTATGTAGTGTTGATCTTTTAAAGTTGGATTAATACTGCTCTAAATGATAAACAGTTGGGTATTTTTACTGCATTATCTTGAATGGTGACTTTGAAGCCACTGTCAGCTTTCTGATACATCCCTGATGTTCTTTATATATATTGTCTCTTTAGCAATTATCTAGATTTTATTTTTCCTTTATCCTTTCATTAAGAACTAGATGCTTAATTGAGCTGTTTTTCTCTTCTTAAGGTAATTGAATGATATATCATTGATCAAAAATGTGTATTTTTCTAGCCTGAGATGGTTGTGACAAATAATCTACTGGATCTGCCACCTCCATCTCCTCCCAAACCCAAAACTATTGTCTTACCTCCCAACTGGAAGACAGCACGAGATCCAGAAGGGAAGATTTATTATTACCATGTGATCACGAGGTAAGAGGGCTATGTGAGGGTCCCCTAATATGCTTTCATTTGATCAAAGAAGCTGCCACTGTCAGGGCAGTTTTATAGTTATTGGTTGCCCACTGTGTTTTAGTTTTGCTAAGTTTTCAGAATCATTTCTTAAAAGATATTTTAGACCTTAGACTTTGGCATTTTTAAAATATGTTTTGGTGTTTTTTGTTTGTTTTGAGATGGAGTATCACTAATGAGCGAGACTGACCTGTAATTTGAAATCCTTTCACCTCAGCCTCTTGAGGTAGTTGCGATTATAGGCATGAGTTGCGATTATAGGCATGAAGTATGAGGCTCAGCTGATTATGATGTATTTTTAATCCATAAGACTCTTGGAGAAAACTATGATTTGTTTAAAAATGGTAGTAACTTTAATATAGTAGATGAGAGTGTTTATAAAGTTACTTTCATAACTGCTAGCATTCTGCTAGCATTTTGTAAGCAACTACAGATGATGTGTAAATAATATGTCTGTGTTCAGGTAAGCTTTATAGGGGCAGCCAAATAGCTCAGCAGATTAAAGCACCTGCTTAGGCAGATGCAGGGACTGGGGTTCGATCCCCAGCGTGCCATGCTGGCCCCATGCGCTGAGACAGAGATTGAGACTGGGCATGGTGGCATGTGCTTGTAATCCGAGTGCTTGGGAGGCTGAAAACAGGATCACTACAAGTTCGATCTGCATAGTGAGACCCTGTAGATCCTGTACTAAGAAATACAAAAATAAATAAAAGTAAACTTTAGAAGCAAAACGTAGTGATGGTATACATCTATAATTCTAGCACTCTGGGAAGCTGAGGTAGTAGGACACAAGTCCATCCTGGGTAGAAGTGACTTAGCAGGACCCTGTCCCAAAATAGAAGAAAAAAGAAAAACCCTGGGTTCAATCCCCTCTACAAGGAAAAAGAGAAACAAAATATCCTTATAGAAATATGTAGTTGGCTGGATTCGATCCATGAACTCAGTTTGACAATTCTTGTATATGTAAAAAACAGACTTAGAATTATTTTCTGAGAAAATAGAATTGTTTTATTTGGACAGACCATGTAGACGTGCATGAAACAAATGACCGTGGAGAGTGTGAACAGGAAATGAATATGCTGAAAAGAACATCACTGACAACTGTCTGGCAGTTTTTTAAAATACCTTTTTAAAATATTCCTGGGGGTGTGGTGTGTTAAGTTCTTTACTTGTACTTCTGAGTGCCTGAATTAAATTCCTACTATCAAAACAAAGATAACCTCTTTAGTTGCATAGTTTTATATAGATCTGCGTGCTTTCTGCATATGTGTGTACAATCATCAGTATGTAATCCGTTGTCCGTGTTTTTTGCATGTTTTGTAGTCTGCCTCACTTACCAAAGGTGATGGGCTACCAAATGTTGTTTAACCCTCCCTAATTATATCAGGTGGATCTAATCCTAGACATTCTCATGAACAATAATCTTTAAGATTCTTTTGTTTTCCAGTGCTAGGCATTAACATGTTTCTTTCCCATGCCACTCGTGGCTTCACTGGCTGAAGCCACCCAGCAGTACATGTATGACTGTTTCATCTGGTGGCTTTTTATTAATTTTATTAGTAAAAAGACCAAAAAAGGTGGTGAGATAAAAGTGAGTTTGATAAAGGGGAAAGAAACTCCAAGTTCATGTTCTGTAAAAAGGAATGAATTTTAGGAATGATGGAGGTTAAGTGTAGAAAGATTTTATTGAGAGAAAGAAAAGCTCCTAAGAGGGGTAAAAAGGATCCTGAAAAGTGGGTTGCCATCAACCCCACTTCTCAAGAGTGTTTAATTGAGCAAACACACAAGGTGAGACAAGCTTAAGTTTGGACATAACTATAACCAATAAGATACAAATACAGTCACTTAGATAGTACTGATCCAGTGACAAATGATAGGATGGCTGTGAGGTAGGACAAAACTGGTCAATAAGTTTACAAGGACAGTTGCTAGGGTGAATACTGATTAAATGAAGATCAGCGAGGGAAACAAGTCACGAGGCAGGCACACCTGGGCAGACGAGGACTTTCCTGGAAGGGATGAGTTAAGGAGGTCCGGTCCTCACCCCAAGGTGATTGATGCCTACTTTGAACACCAGTCACTGCTGTTCATCCCTAGGGCAAATGTATGGGTGAGTAGTTCTTTTTCTTGCAGGATGGCCTTCAGTGACTGTCTTTCCAACCACAGTTGTTTTCTACACTGGCCTCTCGAAGGCCCAGCCCTGTCTTGTCTGTCTGTCTATAATATTTCTACCTAACTGAGCTACCTATAATAATTAGGTCCCAGTGTACCACTAGTAGTTCAGACAGTGGAAATGTGTTAAACCCAGGTCTTGCTGGTGATAGGGAAGTGCTGTATAACAGAGCTACATCCCCAACCCCAAGTAGATTCTTACAGGTGAAATAGTTGGCCAAAACTATACATGTTTTATGTTGTGAAATTTGTCAGGGTTTGTTTTGTTGTTGTTGTCTTTTTTTCTCCCCCTTCCATTCCTTCCCTTCTCCTCCTCCCTCCTTTCCTTCCATTGCTAGGAATTGAACTTAAGGCCTTCACAGTGAGCTACATCCACAGCCCTTTTTTACTTTGATACAGGATCTTGCTAAGTTGCCTGGACAGTATTCAAACTTGGAATCTTTATGCCTCAGCCTCCCAAAGTACCAGGATTACAAGCATATGCTGCCATGCCCACTTCAGTTTATCATTTCTTTTTTTTTCTTTTTTTGCAGAACCGGAGATTGAACTCAGGCCCTTGCTGCTTGCCAGGGAAGCACTTATTCCACTCAGCCATATCACTGGCCCCCAGTTTATCATTTCTAAAATTTATGGAAGTCAATGTAGATTTCCACAAATAAATGTGCAAAAATGTCATTTTTCCTCTTGTCAACGCTTCAGCTTGTCTAATAGGCAAGAGATCAATTTCATGTCTAATTTTTTTATTATTAAATTGGAAATTCTTTATTAGAATACTGGCCTTTGTTTCTTTTGTGAGTTGCCTGTTTGGGACGTCATATCATCTCATTATTTCTCTTCTTCAAGAATATTGCGGGCTGGTGAGATGGCTCAGTGGTCTAAAGCACCTACTTAGAACAAGCTTAGCAAAGCACAAGGGACCGCGGTTCAATCCCCCAGCACCACATGCCAGCCAGCCCCGCCCCTTGGTGGGCTGAGCTGGCCACACACACACACACACACACACAAATAAATAAAATAAATAAATAAATATTTAAAAAAATATTGCAAATGCTTTTGTTTTTGGTATCTTATAGTATAAAGAAGTTTAATATTTTTGTAAAGTCACGTATTCTTTCTTTGTGCTTTCTGCTTGGAAAACCATTACTCTTGTTAACATTATCTTTTTAAAATGAGCCATTATTTTGTTGCTAACTGAATATGTATTGATTTTAAAAATCAGTTTCTATAAATTCACCCAAAACTTTTAAGACCAAAGCAAGCTTTTTGTTATATTGCTGCACTTCTCCACCTGCCAATCTTCTTTATTTATTTATATGTGTACCCTTTTCTCTTTTTGGTAGGGTTTTTTTGACACCTACAAATAGACATTTATATGTATCTGTTTTAGTGTTCTTAATAAAATCATGCTTTTGATCCATACATTCTAATAGAAGGACAGTGCCTGCCTGGCAGGTGCAACAAGGTCCTGAGTTTGATTTCATATATATCTAGAAATCTTGATTTTGTTTTTTACCTAGTTCTATAGGTTACATATAAGCTGTTTTCATTGTCATTCATAAATTGATGTGCATCAAATGCACTTAGGGTTGCTGACTAAAGATTGATGACTGTCCTCATAGCATTCCTTCTGACACCTGATTTCAGACTCCTGAATATGAATATCCTATCCTTAGTTCTAGTTTTTACCTTATATATCAAGCTTTGAAAAATAAATATTTGGCCAGGGATGTAGCTCAATGGCACAGCACCTGCCTGGCAAGCTCCAGACCCTGTTTTGAATTCCTAGCACCAAAAATTTTCTCCCTGAGGTCAGGGATATGGCTCAGCAGCATAAGCACCTGCCTGGAAAGCACAAGATCCCTAGTTTAATCCCTGGTACTGCAAAAAAAAAAAAAAAGAAAAAAAGAAAAAAAAAAGAGCTGACCATGGAGTGAAAACCTGAGTCAAAAATTATCTCCCTCTCCTTCCTCCCCCTTCTCCCTGCCCCATTCTCCCTTACCCCCCGTTCACCTGCTTATTTTCAAAACAGCTATAATCATTCAGTGAGTTAACATAACTAAGTCCTTTTTGCAGTCAGTTAATATTTTTAGCAGAGAACACATGGTTTTAACCTGTACATCCTGTCAATCATTAAACCAACGGGGCAGAATTACACTCAACACCTACAGTATTTGGTGGCAATGGCCTATAACCCTAGCTACTTGAGAGGCTGAGGTAGGAGGATCAGGAATTCAAGGTCATCTTGGGCTATCTCAGAATGAGGGCCGGGGGGGCTGGTGAGATGGCTCAGTGGTCTAAAGCACCTACTTAAAACAAGCTTAGCAAAGTACAGGGACCGCAGTTCAATCCCCCAGCACCACATGCCAGCCAGCCCTGCCCCCTGGTGGCTGAGCTGGCCACACACACAAAAAAATAAATAAATAAATTTTAAAAAAAAGAATGAGGGCTGGGGATGCAGCTCAGCATTCCTTAGGTTTAATCCCCAGTACAGGATGGATATTTCTAAAAGAAAGGGAAAGTTTTCTTAACATGGTCAGGGACAGCACTGCGATTTGACTTACTGTATTTTACTTAGGTGTAATCAATACTGATCTCTTGATTTACTAAAGATACTGGAGGCAGATACCTACTCTACTATTTAAGTGCTTCTGAAGCCTATTTCTAGGACATTAAGAGTTGGTTGAGAAGCAGACAAGATGTTACATGTCAACCTCATAGTGCTGACTTACTCTGCAGTCCACTGTATGTTGCATTTTATGTGTGTATGCGCAGATACCTGTGGCAGATTTCTGTTTTTTAGCCATGACAGCATGGCTATTCTTACCTCCTTCTAGGCAGACTCAGTGGGATCCACCTACTTGGGAAAGCCCAGGAGATGATGCCAGCCTTGAGCATGAAGCTGAGATGGACCTGGGAACCCCAACATATGATGAAAACCCCATGAAGGTGAGTATGGTTTCCTGATCACTTGAGAGTGTTGTCTGACCTTCTGGCTCTTTTGCTTATTCTGAAGGACACATGAAAGTTGGGTCAAGATGGAAGTGAAATCAGAAAGACCTTTAAGGGTCAGCCTGATAGCTCAACGGACTAAAGTGCCTGCTTAGGCAGAGCACAGCTGCCAGGGTTCAATCCCCTGTGAGCTGTGCCAGCCCCGTTCCCGGGGCACACTGAGACAGCAATTGAGACTGGGCATGGTGGCGTGTGCCTGTTATGCCAGCACTTGGGAGGCTGAAAAATGAGAGAATCACTATGAGTCCGATCTATGGAGTGAGACCCTGTAGACCCTGTGCTAAATACAAAAAAAAAAAAAAAGACCTTCTTTAGACTTTCAAGGACTCAGATGCATACTAGCTGCACTAATTTATAGATACAAAAGAAGGATTTGAAAATAGGAACAGTAAAAGGTGGAAAGAGAATGAGTAAGGGCACAAGATAGTCATAATACTGATAATCTCTTATAACTTACTTTAGCATATCTTAATTCTTTCCTTCCTAGTCAGTGTTGATCTGCATTCTTCTTGATAGGGAGATGTATATGGATAGATGATTTCTTTCTACATGCATTTTGGTTCTTTAAATCTCTCTGCATGGTGTGGTTTAATGTCTTGTTTGGGATCGGGAATGAAGCTAAACTGGTTACGTTAAAACTTACAACAGCATATAAAATTACCTTCCTCTCCTTTTTAAAAGATGTATGGGGTTTTTTGGGCTAGGGGTTGCAGTGGAGTACTACTGTGCCATAAAGGATAAATTTGAGACATTTCTAGGTAAATGGGTGCACCTTAAGATCATATTCTTTAAGTAAAATAAATTGGACATATGTGTAAATACTGCTTTTTTTTTGGTATAAGAAAGTGTAAATAAGGACTGAAATGTGTATGTATAATAGGTATTGTGAAATAGGAAGAAAATACTCAAATAAGGAATACAAGGGAAGGGGAAGGAAAGAAAAAGCTAAAGAAAAATGGACAATTTTGCTTTTATAAATGGGGAGGGAAGGAATGGATGAAGGTAAGATAAAGAGAGAAAACAAGTTATATCATGTACAGATACAGATTCTCTGTGATGAATGTGATCATTAAAATGTACCAATAAAATATGAGAGGCCAGGGAAATGGCTCAGAGGCCTGCGTTCAATCCCTGGTTCCACAAAACAAATAAATACAATAAAATATGATTGGGTAAAAAAAATTGAGATAAAGGTAATTTATTGTGGAAATACTAGAACAAAAACAGAAGCAGCTGGGCATAGTGGTGGCTGTAATCCCAACATTCAGAAGCAGGAGGCTTGTCATGAGTTCTAGGCCAGTTTTAACTACATAGCAAGATCCTGTCTCCAAAAAGAGAGTAAAGAGCTTATTCCTCATCTCTGCTTTTGATAAGACAGTAATTGGGATTAGAGATCATATAAATCATACACTCAGTGACTGTATTAAAAGAATGCTATCTTTTTCTACTTATAACAGACTCAGCTGTCTTCAAGGGTGTGATATTATGAGTGAAATTAGAGATCACTCATTTATTTGTATTTATTTATTTATTTATTTATTTTTGGTATTTTTTAGGGAAGGGCCTACAGGGTGTTCAGGGTCTCACTACTAGATCGGATTTATAGTGATCTGCCTGTTTACAGGCTTCCAAGAGCTGGGATTACAGGCATGTACCACCATGCCCAGTCTCAATTGCCACCTCAGCACACCCCAGGGTGGGGCCTGCACGGCAGGCCTGAAGATTGAGATCACTTATAAAACCTGAAAATTTTATTTTATTTTTTTAAGTTTGAAAGTGTGTTACTAGTTAAGAACAGTGAAAGAAGAAAAAAATGGTGCTGTAGAGTATAAGTGAATTAGAAATAGAGTTATGCCTTTTATAATTAGGAAATGCTTTTCTTCACCGTGTGTTTAATATTTACAAAAAGATCTGCAATTAAGTTAAGTCTATGTGTAGCTCATTAAATTTCAAGTGACTCTCTTAAATCACTTGGCCACTTGACACCGGCTGCCATTCGGCCATATTTTCTTGAATCATTTAGTGTGCCCAGAACAGCACCGCCACTATTTGAATTGTCTATAAACTTAAAACAAGCAAAAATCTGCAACTCCCTTTTTTCATGCTTCTGTAGCTACGAAAGTTTTATCTTTTGAAAAATAAACAGGGATTGTGATCTGTACTATATAGCAATATACCTGAGCTCTGGGGTCAAGCTAGCAAGGGATATTAGAAGCCAGGGGCCATAGCACAGACCCATAATCCCAGTATATTGGGAAGGATCACAAATTCAACTCCTGCCAGGGCAATTTAGTGAGACCCTGTCTCAAAAAAGGGGTTCTGGTTGGCTATTATAACTGCCTGAGTTTGATTGCTAGCACTGTGGGAGTAGGGTGTGTGTAGGATTTTATCTTCTACACAGAGTACAGCACTTTCGTTCAGACATGTGTATATTAAGTTAGACCTTTCAAAGAAAATAAAGAATAAATTGCTTGTGTAATATTTGGGGTACAGTACACCCATATCCCTATTATGTTATGTTTGTTTGAGAGGGTTTTGTTGTTGTTGTTGTTTGTTTTCTTTTTGGCTGGCTCAGGCTGCCTTCAGGGTGAGTCCGGTAAGGCATGTGGAGCTGGGGATTGAACTGCGTGTCCTGCACCTGACTGTGTTTGCATAAGCAGGTGCTTAAAGAACTGAGCTAAAGGGCAGGCCCCCTGAGTACTAGAGTATGAATCCAGGGTCTTTGCACTGAGCTATACCTCTAGCCCTTTTAAATTTTTTTTTCTTGTGTGTGTTCACTCCAGCAGCAATGTACTAAAATTCTATTTTTTGCTTTGAGACAGGGTCTTGCTAAATTGCCCAGGATGAGCTCAAATTTGTGATCTTCCTGTCTCAGCCTCTCAGAGTACTAGGATTATAGGTGTGTATCACCATGCCCTTTGTTATGTGAAGGCATTGTGCTACGAAATCCAGCTCATTGAAACAGCTGAGAAAGAAGTAGGAGTCAAGTAAAAAGGCAGGCTTATATGTCATATTCAGCAGTTAGGCCTCTATTCCCTGCCCCTATACATGGTGGGAAACCTTTGAAGGGGTTTGAGTTGGACACAATTAGACTTCACTGTTAGAAAGTTTACTGATGATGCCAGGTAATGCTTAGTATAATCCCAGCATTCTGAGAGACTGAGGCAGGAGAATTCCAAGTTTGAGCCCACAATTTAGTGAGACTATGTTTCCCAGTTTCAGAAAAGAAAGCTCCTCAGTGGTGATGCAGGACTTTGACCTATGGGGCTTAGCAGTGAGCGTGGAGCATGCTGTAGTAGGTCTGCAGACCCAGCAGCACCAGACGTCACCTTTTCTTTGTATTTGTTTGTTTGGTTTACTGTACTGGGGATTTGGTTTGTACTGAGCCACATTCCCAACCTTTTTTTTAGGGGGAGGGGGTCAGTCTCACTCGGTGGCCCAGCCTGGGCTTTAATTTGGAATTCTCCTGTTTCAACCTCCCAGATTGTTGACATTATAGGTGTGTGCCACCACACCTGGCTAGGTATCACCTATTAAAAATGCAAGATCCTAACCCATGTCCCACTCCTAAATAAGAATCTGAATACCTTAGGCAAGATGCATACGCATTCAAGACTAAGTAAGGATAGTATTAGCTGTTTTTGATTGATTATAGGAAGAACATAACTTTAATATTACTATATCCATAACACCCAGTGAATATATTTATCAATTTATACCTGACTGCTATTCCTGTTGCCATGGGTGCATGTCAAACCGAAGCTTGAGTCATACTCATAATACCTAGTGCGATGGATCCAAATACACATTCAGATCACACAGATAAATCTGAGGTTAATCCCACTCCTTTTTACATTTGGCTATTTAATATCCACTTGAGTTCCTATGCAACATAAGCTCTCAGTGACAGGAAGGTGAAGATATTAGCTAGCTTTCTATCACTGTGACTGAATACTATACCTGGAATAAATAATTTAGGAAAAAGCAGTTGGTTTACACTCAGTTTCAGACCTCAGTTGTGTGGCCTGTTACATTGGGCCTGTGGAAAGGCAAAGCATCAGATCAGGGAGTACATGGTGAAATAAAACTGTTCATGTCATGGTGGCCAGAAAGAGAAAGAGAAATGTGCCCCTTAAGCACAGACCCCAGAAAGACCAAACTTCTCCAGTTAGGTCCCACCTCTAAATAGTGCGATTACCTGGCAACCAGTCCTTCCCCACATGGCCAGCATGGCTTAAAATCTAAACCACAACAGTAAGGTTTGATAAGTATGCAGTATTATATGGTGTTGTAGTTAATTGTGGTTTGGACTTAAGTGCTAGAGATATTTATAAAGAAAAGCTACTCTATTAAGAGGAAATCAGGGAAATTTTTGCAAGAAGGTAGTATTTGAATTAGGCTTTGAATAAAAGTTGAGATCTTGAAACATGTCCTTTTAGGTCTCAGATCCTGCCAACTCTCCTGTGACCCAGAACTTTCATTCCTGAATCCTGGGGTTTTAAAAAAATATCCTTGTGCATTTTTCCATGGTATAAGACAGATTAATGTCAGTTTTCCTTAAGTTATATTTATTAAAACAACTTTTATTTTGACTTTTTGATTTGCTTTTGGGTGTTAATGTATTGTCATTAGTGGTTGTAGATTGCTTTTTTTCAAAATTATTATCTTTGGCAAAATCAAAAATTAGCAATTCAGCGTTGATTTTTCCCCAATTCTTATTTAGCAGGTTTGTAGAAGCCAAAGTCTCTTAATGCGTTATTATTCTAACACTCCCAGGCAGAAAATGAAAGGTTAAGTGAAATCTGGTTGAGTTGGGTAGGACCATTTGTAGGGAGTGGACAGAATTAAAGAATGATTTGTACTGAAGGCACACTAGCCCAAGCTGTGAGGTCAATGCCCTGGAAATAAAGTGGTGTCTAGGTTACATTCCTCTACTG